ATCAAGAGCCAAAGATATTGAAGGAAAAAGTCCAAGGTGCATCCAAGGAATTGGCAAAGAACAAGGCACCATGAATGGATGTAATAAAAATGGAAATCTTTCAAGAAAGTGAGGCAGCACAGGAGGCACTCACTCATTTATTTATGCCAAGAAATTTGGAAGACAACTATCTGGCCGACTGATTGGAAGAGATCCATAATTGTGCCCATTCCAAAAAGAGGTGACCCAATGGAATGCAGAAATCATCGGAAAATCTCTTTGATATCCCATGTGAGTAAAGTTTGTAAAGGTAATACAAAAATGGCTGCAAATATAAATTGACAAAGAACTTCCAGAGGTTCAAGCTGGATTCAGAAGAGTCAGTGGAACGAGAGATATCATTGCTGATGTCTGATGGATCTTGGCTGAAAGCAGAAAATATCAGAAAGATGTTTACCTATGCTTTATTGACGATGCAAAGTCTTTCCATTGTGTGAATCATGACAGGCTATGGACTGCCACACCAACTCCGATGCAGTTTGTGTGACATGTTCACCAGATGGAGGCAGAAGCTTCAAGGAAGTGTACCTCTCGGACTGGAATGTGCCCCCAGCGTGATCTCTCTTGGCTGTTCATGTTTGCTATTCTTTCTTCTAGTTGTGGGAATAAGTCTCATTGTACTATTAGAAGGTCATGTTCCTTTGAGTCCATTTGTTGATAGAACATTAGATACATCGGAAATCAAACATGAAAATAACAAAGAGCAAATTGAACAGAAGGCGTCACACTGGCCACCTGTATTGGAGGCATTTGCAAAAATACCTTTTAAACTTATTTACTCCCCAGAGTAGAGGGTCTAGTAGGAATTAACACAATTACACAAACTCCTGCTCCACACAGACTCCCATCGACAGTTAAGACTAAGAAAGGTTTTGCTTTCGTGCTCACGGGTGGACGTTTGTGGCAACCCCCTAATTCCTGAGCCTACCCCTGAGCCATTGTCTTGTACTGGAAAGTACGACGAGTTTGGCAATCGGTGGATAATTGAAAACAGGAAAAGAGTTTCTTGGTTTACATTGCCTTTCTTAAAAAGATTACAGAGAAGTAGTAAAAGGTGGTGTTTGCGGGCGCAAGAAGAGAAAGATGATTTAATTAAACAACTAAGCATTATGAAACCATTCCTAGATAGACATTGGAAAGCACTAGGAGGAGTCCCGTGGAGTTATTTAAGAGACATACATGAAATTGATAAGGATATCTTTTAGAGATTAAAAGCTAGAAACTTTTAATATTACAATCCCTGAAAAAGTTCTCACCTTGATCATATGTTACAGAATTAAAGGATCACTGAAGCATGTTCTTAGAATTCTCTGTTAAACCAGGAAACCACTGTCTGCCAAGTTCTATTGTTTATTAACCTGAAAACTTGTTACGTTTTAGAAGATGACATAACCTAGGCTATTCTACTTTCTGTATCTTTCTTGGCCATCTAGCATTTGCGTAAATTAAAAAAGGTATAAAAATTGTAAGTAGAATAGAATTTAAAAAAACACACAGAGCACCAGAGGAAGAATAAAATGTACACTTTGTAATTCAAGCCTCGGTGTCTCATTCATCACCGAACCTCTACCCACTCGCGGTTCTAGTTTCGAAGACCCTCGTCCCCAGGCTAAAGCCCTCCAGCTTAGCAGTCTGCGGCAATGGACAACACTGTAAAGTATGAGTGTTCCTAAACACTTGACTGTGTTCATGAGGAATCTGTACATGGACCAAAATGTAGTTGTTTGAACAGAACATGGAAGTACTGAATGCTTTAACAACTTAACTACAATGTACTCTTACCTTCAGAGCTGCCTGAGAAATTCCATGTTTCCACTGAGTCCCTCTGCTCTCACCACTAGCTTCTTTCATACTTTTTCCCTCCTTTCTTTCTTTGCTTCTAGTCTGCTTAGCTGTTTCTCTTTGTGTGAAATCGCACAGGGCTGGCCAGACCTGATTTTAAAGAGATAGCTGGTGATGGCTCTGTTTGTCTGTACCCCCTTCAATTATGAACTAAGCTGTTGGATCCACAGGATTTTGGGCCTCCCTGTGGGTATGTACTCATCCAGGTCTCACCTCTGGTATCCAGAGATGAAATTGAGTAGAAAAAGAAGAAAATAGTAATAATCACATTTGTCTCTGTAAGACCCAGGCAAGTTCTGAAATGGGAATGCTGTTGTCCCTCAATCTGCTTACGTTCAAAATGGCTGTGGCAGGTCACATGGGCCACCTTAAATGAGAAGTCATTTCCTTTCATTTTTCTGTTCAAATTCTTTCTTCTGGTAAGCACTCAATCTGATTATTTATGTTATCTGAATCTCAGAGTTTAGCAACCGTCCTTTGAATCTGTTTTATCCAGTTTCCCATGTTTTGGTTGAAGACGATTGTGCACAGTCTTTCTCCCTAGTCCACAATCAAGCCCCACCCTCCTCTGGTTAATTATTAATAATCTGACACTACTTTTCACCTACATATGACTCATCAAATGTTAACAGCAGACATCAGAAGTCAGACAAATATAACTAGTATTCCCCAGATTATACAACATATCCAAATAAAGGAGGATAGGACAGCTCTGAAGACAGAATTTCCTTAAAAGTTAGAGTTGGTTTTTCACCTCCAGGATAGCACACACAAATATTCGTTTGAAGCCAAGAGGATTAAAAAGCACCCTCTACATTTACAGATCCACCTAAGGATCCAAGGCCAAAGTGGCAGTCATGATACCAAAAATTTCTGATGAGCTAAGACCTATATGTGGGTTGTAAAATGCTATGGCTTTGGAGGTATCATGGTTCCAAATTATATCCCTAGTGGGACCAGATACCTTTGACCCCAAATCATCACTTTTGGTCCCTTCCTGTGTCACTGGACTACATCTGGAATTTGTCTTCTGACAAGAAAGGAGGGAAACAAGATGGCGGATCAGGTGGAAGTACAGTGATGAGCTCTGCTGGGAACAACACAGAA